AAAGCGCAACGTATAAAAAAGACCGTACAAATGTGTAAAGTGAATGTAAAGTCGAAATATTTGATTGCAAATGTTTCCTTACTGGTTACCGTAATTATCCCTGCATTTAAAAGTTGAAAAATTTATCAAAATCGAGTGAAACTAAGTCCGAATCTTATATTTGACGGCCATACGTGTAGAGTGTATAATGTTATGAAACATCGCCCAAATTTCTAAAAATTGAATGAAAAGTTGGTAGATTTGATTGCAATAGTACCCTAAGTGTTTGCCTACCGAACCCTAGAGTTAAAAGGATTAGAAACATAATCACATGTCGGGTAAAAGTAAGCACAAAATATATAAATATACGGCTATAAGTACTGAATGAATAATGTTAAGAAATAGTGTTCAAAGTTATGCAAATCGATAGCAAAGTTGTTGAATTTGATTACGAATTTGACCTAAGTGATCGTGTAATGTATGAAAGGGGAGGAATAATGATGAAATAAGACAATAGTATAATACAGAAATACAATTGCACGTGAGTATAGTGCATTGCTTCATAGTTTGAGACAGCAGGAAGTTATGCAGGATAATTTGTATTTTTTGTATGTTTGGCAAACGGTGATAATATTACATTCAGACGGTTTTGGGCACAGTGTGCCGAATGAACGAGGAATTTCAATTTCATGAAAGCCAAGCGGGAACATTAAAAAAGCCAAAACAACAACTTTATCACAAGATCTCGTAATAACAGCATGAGATAATAATAGCACGAGATCTCGTACTAATAACACAATATCGAGTTATTACGAGAGATCAAATATATGAGTGTGGTGTAAATTATAAATTTGATGGTTTTCTAATTTGTCTGAAAAATAAGAAAAACCAAATTCATGATGGAAAATAAATACCTGCAAATTTAGTTCATGTGTTGTATACCATTCACTGTTTGTGTCCTATGTCAGATTAGAATTGAATTTAGAAGTTTTTAAAATCAAACCATCTCAGTTCCTTTAAATTGCGGCGGTCATTGCGCCGCATGCATATGGGACTCGTGGCGACGTACACAACGCAGAGCTAGACTGTGATGTAGTATTTCACACGAATACAGTTTGAAAACTTGAAAACTAAAAATCCCCGGCCTGCAAAATATTAGTACTGTCGAATTGCACCTTAATTTCAGTAATGTGTCGGTGTAGTTGCCCTATCAACGTCGCTGGTTACATATTAACTTCACTCATCGATGTCGGACTGGAGAAGTTGAATATTAACTTTGATCTATTTCGTCACTCAGAGAGATTAAAGAACTATTACTACGCGTGCGCAGAAGTGTCCGACCTTTGTACATCAGCCATGACACTCGTAATGGTCTACCACCATCCATGGCGATACAGGGGATGCTCACTGTAAGGTCAAAATATGTCCGTATTCAACATAAACACTCTGGTATGTTAACTACGAATGAATATTGTATCAACGTAGCATTGTCGGTGTACTGACTTCCGCCTTGACGTTGTTACGCCTGGCAGCATTGACCTGATACGTTATTTGTGTTAACATAAAGTTCATTCTTTTTGATTGCTGC